ACTACGGATATTGCAGCTAATGTTAGATGGATCTTGGCTGAAAGCAGGAAATACCAGAGGAATGTCTATCTGTGTTTCATTGACTATGCAAAGGTGTTTGACTGTGTTGACCACAACAAATTGTGGCTAACTCTGAGAAGAATGGGGATCCCAGAACACTTGGTCATGCTTATGCAAAACTTATACTTGGAGGAGGAAGCAGTCGTCAAAACAGGCCAAGGGAACACTGCATGGTTCAAATTTGGGAAGGGTCTATGCTAGGGATGTGTTCTATCTCCAAAACTTTTCAATTTCAATTTATATATAGAACTATGGTGTTAAGAGAAGAGTATTGAATATACCATGGACTCCTAAGAGAATGAACAAGTTCGTCCTCGAGAGAGTTAAACCAGGTTGCTCCTGCGAGGCAAGGATTCTGAAGCTTTGTCTGATATTCTTTGGACATGTTGCAAGGATGGACCAGTCTTAGGAAAGGGACGTCATGCTTAGGAGGGTGGAGTGACAGAGCAGGAGAGGAAGACCCTCTATGAGATGGATTGATTTAGTCACGGTGGTAATTGACAATAAGATTAGCAAAGGATAGAACAGGGTTTAGGGCTGTTGTACATAGGGTCACTAGGAGTTGCAGGCGATTTGATGGCACATAAGAACAACAGCAAAAGAATTTTTATTATTTTCTTTGAAAGCCTCACAGAAAGCCCATATTTTTAGCAACATTGTGCTCATGCTGATAGAAAGTTCCACCATACCTCTCAACTTTTTCTCCACTCTCATTAGAATTTCTCTTAATATCCACAATTACACCAAAAGACTCTTCAAGGAAATCAAGGATCTTAAAAGTAAGTGTACAAAATTTCCTTCAGCGTTAATCAATTACAGAATTTCAAAAACATATCATCATCTTTGTTATTGTAGAGCAGCATTCCCATTCCTTGATAGCAAATTCCGTCTTAGTTACCATAACAGAATATCATAAGTTGGTGGCTTTGAAGAATAAAAATTTATTTTATCACAGCTCAGAAAACTAAAAGTTTGAAGGATATCAGCTCTAGGAAATGATCTATGATTTTCAAACTCCCACTAACTGCTGGCAATCCTTGATTTCCAGGGCTTTACTGAGCTTATAGATGTATTTGCTTCTGTCATCACTTTGTGTCCATCTCCCCCTTGTGTGTCACTTTCTATGTCTACTGTACTAAGTGATCACTCAGAAAGGATTATTTTACTGGGCTAATTGTCAGCACCATGATAGATGGAGAAGAGATTGTGGCTGTTAACAGTTACAGCTTGCTCGGCTACCCAATCAACACTTTTGTCACCAGTAGTCAAGAAATCAAAAGAAAAATTGCATTAGGTAAATCTGCTGTCAGGGACCTTTCCTGAGTACTGAGAAGCAACTATGTCAGTCTGGAGAATAAGGTGCGCCTGATCCAGTCCATGGTCTTGGTTACTGCTATGAATCAGAGAGCTGGATAATGACTAAGGATGATAGAGAAAGAATTGATGCCTTTGAGTTGTGGTGCTGGAGAAGAGTCTTGAACATACTCTGGACCACCAAGAAAATAAGTAAGTCTGTCTTGCAGAAGATAAAACCAAGTTTCTTCTTTGAGGCTAGGATTTTGAAGCTCTGTCTCACATACTTTGGGCATGTGTCCTGGAGGGACTGATAATTGAAGAAGGACATCATGATCGGAAGGGTTAGAGGGTCAGTGCAGGAGAGGAAGACCCCAGACGAGATGGACTGATACAGTGACTAGGGCAATGGGGGTAGGTGTGTTGGAGTCAGTGAGACTGGCTCAGGACAGGCTTCTGAGCTGCTGTACAAAGAGTTGCTAAGAGATGCAGGCGACTTGACGGCACATAACAACAGCAACTGCTGTGGTACGTTTTTATTTAAATATGTTATTATGTTTTTATGTACTGTCAAGCCAGAACTGACTCATAGGTTACCCTACAGTGGGTTTTCATAGGCAATAAATCATAAGGGAGAAGACTGCCAATCTTTCCACCATAGAACTGCTGGACAATTCAAAACGTGTGCCTTTGGGTTGACAGTGCAACTCCTTACCACTAAACCACCAGAGCATTTTCAATTCAAATAAGAAAAGTAAAATCCTATTTTCAAACAGGATCAGATCCACAGGCCAGGATATTTATACATATTTTAGGGGAGTTGTACAATTCAATCTTTAGCAAATATTTTGCTTTTATATATTCATTTCGGGATATCTGAAGATAATAAATTTTGACTAATTATGGTGCAGTAAAGGACAGGGGTCACATCTATTGTTCATAGGGTCATGATGAGTCATACATGACTTGATGGTACCTAATAACAACAATAATGTATATTCTTTAGGGACCTCTTGTGGTCTTGGGGGTAGTGAGTTACACTGGCAACTCAAAGGTGGGCAAATTAGCCAGCTGTTTCCCAGAAGAAATATGGGCAATATCCTCACACAAAATTTATAGCCTCTGAAAACCTACTGAAGGGTCAGCTATGTTTAGGTTCTGACTTGAAGGCAATGATCAGTATTAGTAATACTACTAATTATCTTACTATACAGTAAGAATGTCCCACTAACTCCAAATCCAACTTAAAAAAGAACAACAGAATGCATTTTTTTAAATTTTTTTAAAAAATTTTATTATTTGTGTGTGTGTGTACCGTCAAATCAGATTTGACTGGTACAGGAGGAGATTGTTCCTCCTTCTCCAGCAAAGCATCCGTTGGATTTGAATCGCTCACCTCTGGGATTGCAGTGCAGCTTCTTGCCACTAGGCCACCAGAGCTCACCAGAATGCATTTTAAAACTATTTTTACTTTTATATAAAGGTGGAATGGACACAGGCATTAAGTTGAATTTAAACCCTACACAAAGGTTACAACTTAAACTCAAGCCACTCACTGAGAATTGGATACATCAGAAGGACTTTTCTCCGGTAAATGTCTGGGGGGAACTTGGCATAATATACTTTAGCTTTTTGGGTCTCCTCATCACTCTGAATCAGGATCTTTCCAATTCTTATGGATCTACAGCAGTCTCGTAAACCTTGTTCCATTGCCTCACCTTAAAGCAATAAAAAAGAAAGAGAAAAGAGTTAAACAGAGGTAAAGTGTAAGTCCAAGAACAAGACAAAACTGTTTTCCTGACTATATTAATAATAATTTTTAAAAAGAGTATTGTCCAGAAGAAAGCAATCCTTCTTAAAGTCATTATCTTTTATTTCTGATATAGTCACTTGTTTTATTTAGGGCTAGTCATACAATTAGGTTAAGTACATGAAACTAGGGTAAACTAGATCTTTTGCTGGCTTACAAGATTAGGGTGCCTCCATTATTAAAGAAAATGAAAGTATGATTTATTGAACTTTTTAATATTAGGACCATTTTCATGCTTTTTTAAAAGAAGCCTTTAAATCACCTAAATATTAGTTTCCATTTCATCTGAATATGTGTGTGTATACATATATATATAAATAGTATATAATATAAATATTACACACACACATATATATTTCCTTTGAGTCGAGCACGACTCATAGTGACCCTATGAACAAAAGGCCTGAAGCCCCTTTGCAACTATCGACATTTGTCAAAGTTTACAGAGTTTCCAGAGGCATGCTATTTAGGAAGTCGACACCACCCATGCTTCAACAGTAACAACAAAAAAATTTAAAAAATATATATATATTCATATTTTATAAAAGAAGAGGGCCCAAAAACCAAAGGATCTTCAAGGTGTTATTAGGAGATATTCGTTAACTAAGCGTTGAGCTCAATGGTAGAAGCTTTGTCGGCAAGCAATAAGATAGTAGTATACTGGTTTCCCTAACTAAGATGGAGCATAGTTCATAGAGATTTAAACCGGTAATCCAAACGCCATGCCTTTCTGGCAGTTAGAATTCATCAGGAGCTTCATGGTAGGAAGATTTATAATCTCCTCCCAGGCAATTTTTAACCTTTTAAAACCTGTTGGGGGGTTGGTCAGCTCTGATTTGGTTTTGATTTGACAGCATTGAGAGTTGAGTTACTCAGGATCGAGAATTATAACTCCCTTGATTTCTGCACACAGAACAATTTTGAAAAAAAAAAAATCCTAATTCCTTTAAAGTGTTTTCCAAATATCAGCCATTCTCATCTCCAAGATTTTAGACTATATCAAAATTCTGCCTGTATATTTGCAAAACTAACTTTTATCTCAAATTTATTTTAAAAATATATTTTTAGGAAGCTCTGGTGGCCGAGTGGCAAGAAGCCGCACTGCAATTCCAGAGGTACGCAGTTCGAATCCACCAGATGCTCTACTGGAAAAGGAGGCCCAGTCTCCTCCTGTACCAGTCAGATGTGATTTGACGGTACACACACAAAATAATAAAAAAAGAAAAAAAATATACTTTATACTACTTCTGTAAATATAAAGGCAGCTTTTCTTAAAACAGAAAAGAAAATTATTAAAGTTAAAAACCACCTGGCATATACTATAGATACAGAAATGATTTTTTTTTTTAAAAAACTGTCTTTAAGGAAGAAGCTAAACCTTAAAGATATTATGTTAGTTAAAATCTATCATCACCAACAATTTCTTTGTTATGCAGATTTTAAAAGTTTGAATAACACTGTCTTGAGATTATGCTTAAGAGCTTCCTGCTAGAAATTTTAAAATAAATAAGTAAGGAGCTTAAAACTCCTATTTTATATGACATATCCAACATTAATGTTCATAAACATTAATTCAAAGGCAGGAAAGAAAAAGGAACTTTAAAAAAAAGAGAGAAAGAAATGAATCTCTTTCCAGAGCAGCTTCCTTTGACTTTCTTTAAAAGTTGGCTTGTTCATGAGTGGACATCACTAGGGAAGATGCTCTAGAGTCAATCTCGGCAACATACCAGTATTACTCCAAGGTAACAAGAGAAGAGTGACATTTAAGCTAAAGTAGATTAAAATTATGACAGATATACCTACCTTCTTTCTGTAAACGAGCAGCTATTTCTATATATGATAAAAGATAAAATTGCACACATGCAACCTACCACTTCTCATTATGCTGACCCCGCAGTTTCCTTTCTCAAATTTCACTCCTTCATACTTGTACCCTGTTGATGAAGAATAAAACCAAAGGATTTCTCTTATAACACTGGAATAACCTACTTATTTTACAAGATACCTATAGTTTAAATCCATCAACTAAAAACAGAACACCACAGCAGAAAGCCTTCTCATTTCATCTCTTATTATGAGCCTTAAAAGCAGGAGAAAGGCTGAAGTGGTGACCTATACTTGTTCAACCATGGGTCTCATCCTGAATTTATGTTAATTATAATACAAAAAGGTTATCCCTCAATTTTCACTAAGTAAAAAACTGAAGAGAACAATTTTCTATTACTTACTAATAGAAAAAAAATCAGAACTATAAAACATACTTAGGAATGTCTGGCTACTTTCTTTCTTTTTTTAAAAAATAATTTTAATGAACATTTACAGAGAATTTGGATTTCCATTCATTCATTGCTGCACTTCTCTACCCGCCCAGCCCTCTCCCCCCGCCCCCAGTTCATTCCTCTCTTTCAAAAGAAAAAGAAAGACTCCCTCCCTGGTACACAAGGGTAAAACTTTTACTAATTCTCATAACTTTTGTTGTGTTATATTTTGTTTGTTCGTTTGAGGTCTTATCCTTTCACCTTAGTACTTTAACATGAGCAGCTTTCCCACAAAGGTAAGATGCTAGTAATTCTTAAATCTAATCCCAGTGGATCATCTTGCATGTTGAAGAATATTTATTAACCTTTCATTGGACTTAACAAGCAAGCCATTTAAATAAAACCAACCACATAGTTTTCATTAATAAATATTTCTGAGTTTATTAAAATGTTAAAAGAACACTCCATCTAAACTCATTATTTTGCATATTAATTTCATCAGACTACTTTCTATTTTACCTCAAGTGCATCTCAAAATGCTTATGAGAAAAATATTAGAGTAACCATCCTGGCTACCTGTTGGAGTGGTCACCATGCATTCTTTATATGGCAGTTGATTCAGTCCCTCTTCTACAACAAGTCTGATCTAGAAAATCAAAGAAAGAATAAGTTGAGAACCTACTAAGATTGTCTTGTTAGCTATTAGTCTCATGAGCTGAACACTAGGTTTAATAAGTAGCATGCTAAACAAGATTTTTGTTTTGATAGGGAGTAAGGCCCAATCACTTGTCACATGCAGGGATTCTATCATGTCAGGCTGCTTGCCGGTAATTATTTATTCAAGCCCTTTCAGATACGTATTAAAACACAATATTCAAATAACCCTCCAACTCTCATTAAGTTCATCTAGGCTATATTATAAAAAAAATGTAAAACTTTAAGTGGCAAGAGTCATGATAACATCTGAATAATATACTCCTGGTTATTACTAAACGTGTCCATAGAAAACTGCTTGGCCTTCATTGTTCCAGAACTTTGAAATTGCTAAGGTAGATTATTTTTCATGAAAGACCAATCAAAAAAGAACAAATACATTGCTGTCATGTCAACTCCAAATCATAGAAACCACTTTCCTAGAGAGTTTCCAAGGTTGTAAATCTTTACAGAAGTGGGTGTCTGATATGAAAGGATAATGATATTTCTCCTGTGGAGCTGCTGATAGTTTAGAACCACCAGCCTTACAGTTAGCAGTCAAGTGAAAGAATTATTATCAACTATAATAGAATTCTTGGGCTAAGTGGTGGTTGTTAGGTATTGTCAAGCAAATTATGACTCTTAGTAATCCTATGAATAACAGATCTGAACTTTGCCCTTCACAATCTTTATCAGGCAGGAGACCTTTTTAGTAATCACTGTGTCAATTCATCTGTTCAAAGATCTTCTCTTTCTCTGAACCTCCCCCTATCCCAGCATGATGTCCCTCTACAAGAATTAGTTCCACCTGAGAAAACACCCAAAGTGAGATGAAGTTTCACCATTTTTGTCTCCAAGGAGCACTTCCTTCAAGATAGATTTGTTTATTCTTTTGGCAGTCCATGAAATAATTAATACTCTTCTACACTGTCATAATTCAAAGGCATCAATGCTTATGTGATCTTCCTTATTTATTTTCCAACATTCACATATTTAAGAAGCAATTGAAAAGAACAAGACTTACACCAAGCACACCTTTGTATTTAAATTCACATCCTTTTTATGGAGAACTTTAAGAGTTCCTTGACAGCACGTTGCCCTAATGCAAAACATTTTTTTTATTTTTTGACTGCTGCTATCATGGATGGTGATTGTGATACAAATAAAATGAAATTATTGACACAATATTTTTTTTCTCGATCTATCATAATGTTGTCTATTGGTACAATGATGAGGAATTTTTTTTTTCTTCTTGATGTTGAGATGTAACCCATAGAGAAGACTGTAGCCTTTAATATTCGGCATATAAGTTGTCTTCACTTTCTACAAGCAAGGTTGTGTCAAATGTATAAGTCAGGTCATCAGTAGCTGCAGTGCATAGTTAGCAGCCATGGACCTGTTCCAGTCGATTAACTAGCTTGACAAATCAGGGCTGCTTAAGCTCAAGCAAAAGGACAGACTGGGACACCTTGAGGCAGGTGAGAAACCACTTTCAGAAGGGAACAGGCTTCCTAGTTTGTCATTAAGGTGCTTTTGGGGAAAAAAACCCGCCATCTAGCTTGACCATGCAGGACCCCTTAAGCTCAAGCAGAAAGGAGGACCAGGTCACCTTGAGCAGGTGAGAAGCTACTTTCAGAAGGGAATAAAAGGCTTTCTACTTTGTTATTAAGGTACTTTTGGGGGAAAACGACTGTTAGGTCCAAGGCCCTATGGTCCTCAGGCCAATAAGGGAGCCCAAAGATATAGGTGCTTAAGAAAACATTACTGTATCCTGGGTAATTTTATAGTTACAACAGCCTAATATTCCTAACATCAAAAAAGCAGAAATATACTTCATCCACCATGAAAAAAACAATATAACCCTTTTCCTAAAAAGGAGACCCAATGAATACCCCAGATAGAGAGAACTAGAAGAAATATGTTGATGTAGAATTATGTGATCAGCTACTGAAAAAGATAAAAATGTGGGAAGAAGCAATGAAGTCAATAAGAGAGCAAATACCTCAGAGACAACAGTCCAGAAGAAATATATTGCTGAGGAGCACCTTGAATAGCTATGGAGGAAAATGCACAGGACAGAAGAAAGAATTGGTCAAATAGATAAAGAAGTATAAGAACTTAAAAAATCATCACAAGACAGAGAGAGTACAGCAAACACAGTATTGGAAATAACAGAAAAGCATAAAAATGCAATCTAGAATATGATGACCAAAATGGCAGAACTGTCCAACACACTAGTAGGACAAGAAAGTAGAACAGAAGAGATGTAGCTGGCGGTCAGTGAGCTGAAAGACAAGAGCCTCATTAGAAATATACTAGAAGAAAAATCAGAGATGAAACGCAAAGGAAATGAAGAAAATATTAGAATCATAAGGGATGACAGTAAATGGAATAACAAAAGTATGACTGGAATTCCAGAAAAGGGAAATCACTGCAAAGATTGTCAAAGAAGTACTAGATGAAAACTTTCCAGGTATTTTGAAGAATGGGGAAATCCACATTCAAGAAATACAGAGAATACCAAATAGACTAGACCCCAAAAGAAAAGCATAAAAACATATCATAGTCAAATTCTCCAAATTAAAACATAAGGATAGAATTGAAAAAACAGCATGAGAAAAACAAAGTGTTACCTGTAAAGGCAAACAATTAAATTAAGTTCTGATTTCTCAACAGAAACCATGTGAACAAGAAGGCAATGGGATGCCATTTACAGAAAGTTTAAAGATAACAATTGCCAGCCAAAGATCATATATCAAGCAAAGTTTCCCATCATATATGAAAGGGAAAATACATTCTTTGCAGAAAAGAATGACATTAAGGACTTTGTGAAAACAAGACCAAAATTAAAAGAAATTTGAAGTGACGTTCTTCACATGGAGATGTCAAAGGCAAGTATATGGACCATAGTAACCAGAAACAACAGAAAAAGAAACTCAGCAAAATGGCAAAGGTAAAGCCAGGCTTGATAATACTCATACTTAATGTGAATGGACTAAATTAACTAATTAAGAGAAAAAGAGTAGAAGAATGTAGAAAAAAACAAAGCCCATCAATGTGTTGCCTACAAGAGACACATCTAAAAAAAAGAAAAGAAAGATTCAAAATCAAAGGCTGGAAAAACTATACCGAAAAAATGGCTACCTCAAAAAGCAAGAGTGGCAATACAAATCTCTGATAAAATAGATTTCAGAATGAAAGCCACCATCAAAGACAAGATACATACTAATTAAAGGCACAATAGGTCAAGAAGATACAACCTTAGTCAACATTTATGCACCAAATGATAGACCTGCAAAATACATAAAACAACAGTTAACAGAACTGAAGAAAGAAATAGACAAAACCACAATAGTGGTAGGAGATTTCAACACACCACTCTCACCAAAGGATAGGTCAATTCAAAAGAAACTCAACAAAGGTGCAGAAGATATAAAGTATATAATCAGCCAACTTGTCCTTGTGGATGTATTCAGGATACAGCACCCAAATAAAACTAAATTAACTTTCTTCTGAAGTGCACATGGTACATTCCTCAGAATTAATCACATAGTAGGATACAAAGCAAGCCTCAACAAATTAAAAAAACAATGAAATAATACAAAGTATCTTCTCAGACCACAATGCCATAAAACTAGAAATTAACCACAGGAGAATAGAGCTTACAATACAAAACCACCCATGTGGAAAACTAAATAATTCTCTGCTAAAACATGATTGGGGTATAAAAGAAATAAAGAATGAAATAAAAAGTTCCTTGAAACAAATGATAATGAAAATGCAACTTACTAAAACCTCTGGAACACAGCTAAGGCAGTCCTCAGGGGGCAAGTCATAGCAATAGGCACACAAATAAGAAAGGAAGAAGAATCATCAGTGATCTAACATCATCTTCAGCAAATAGAAATAGATTAACAATCTAATCCTACAGCTTCTAGAAGAAAAGAAATTATAAGAACAGGAGTAGAAATCAATGAGATGGGGAAAAAGGAAAACAAATTAAACCATCAATGAGACCAGGAGCTGGTTTTTCAAAAGGGTCAATAAAATTGACAAACCATAGGTAAACCTAAGAGAAAAAAAAGAGAAGACACAGATAACTTAAGAAATTATAGAGGTTACATCAAAACAGAACCAGATGAAATTAAATCAGTAATATCAGAATACTATGAAAAGTTATACTCTCATAAATTCGAAAACCTAGAGAAAATGGACAAATTCTTTGAAATGCATCCCCTACAGATTGACAAGGACAGATATAGAACAGTTGAACAGGCCCATCACAAAAGAAGAAATTGAAAAGGTAATAAAAAGAAAAGTCCTGGACCAGAAGCCTTCACAAATGAATTCTACCAATAATTCAGAAAGGATCTATCATGAATTCTACTTAATTATTCCAAAAACTGAAAAACATGGAACATTCCTAGCGTCATTCTATAACACAAGTGTACATCTAACACCAAAACCAAGCAAAGATATTTTCAAGAAAGAAAACTACAGACCAGTATCTCTCATGAACGTAGATGCAAAAATCCTAAACAAAATCTTAGCCAATAGAATCCAAAAGTATATATAAAAAATAATTCATCATGACAAAGAGGGATTCATAACAGGTATTCTAGTATGATTCAACATAAGAAAAACAATCAGAAAGCCAAGACCTCCGCATAGTCACCAGGGCTGGTTCGCACCCACCAAACCCAGCTCACCATAAAGGATGACATCGCTGTACTGATGGTCAACAACAGCTCAAGCATGTGGAAGGCTGGCTTTGCAGGTGACCATGCCCCCCAGGCTGTCTGCCCATCCATCGTGGGACGCCCTTGGCACCAGGGTGTGATGGTGGGCATGGACCAGAAGGACTCCTATATGGGTGATGAAGCCCAGAGCAAGAGAGGCAGCCTGACCCACAAGTACCCCACTGAGCACGGCATTGTCACCAACTGGGATGGC